GCCGCCGTTCGCCCCCCTGCTGCACCGCTGACCAGGAGCTGCTTGAGGTGAGCCCCTCCTGCCTCAGCCCTGCCCCCCCAAAGCTGGAGCCCCCCTGCTGCTCCCCCTCGGCCCCACCCTGGAGCCCACACTCCAGTCAGATCATGCTGGGTCACAGCATCCGCCATCTTCAACTGCGTCATGAGAGAAAAAGTTTGAAAACTGCTGGTCTAGTCGAAGCATCCTTCCGCTGGCACCCGGCAATGGCTAGATCCGCTCCCTGCACAGAGTACGTGGCCAGCAACCCCGACAGGCCTTGTGCACGGAACAGAAGGGCAAGGAGCCTCCGATACCAGACCAGGAAGATGCTAGAGCGGGGTGGCCAAGCCAAAAGAAACGCAGCTCTTGTTCTGCGCACGTGCCCCAGCGCCTTCTCTCGGCCGGCCGCTCTGCAGCCCGAAGGGAGAAGCACATGGCAGCGGCTCCAGGACCCAGGCATTGGGTTAGAGCGGCGGGAGGGGGGTGCCTGGCTCTGGGGGAGCGGAGGGGGTTGGGTTAGAGCAGGGGCAGGGTGGGGCTGAAGCTCCTTAAATTCAAAGTCTTCACGGATGCAGAATAAGGCAGCCAACATAGATGCCATAATTAAATTCCAGGGCCAAAAAAAAAAAAAAAAAATCAGCATGTACGTAGTTTACAGCAGTGTTACATTTAAAATACATGCTAGGGACGCTGCTTTTTCTTAGTGTGCGAATATTACTGGATTTTTAAAGGTTTTTTTTAAAAAACTTGATGTTTGCTCCTTGTCAGGTTCTCTGAAGATCTATGGACTGGCTGTGAATTTAAGTGACTAGAGACTTTTTAATTGGTTTTTGTTCAAAATGTCCTGTAATGTTTTTATCACTACCTTTTGTGTACTCTAGAGATATATAAAACGTGGCTCTTTGCACTCTAGCCACCACTATTTTGGCTGTTCATGTCTAACTGGTTGGCCTCCCCTGTACCAGAGGCAGCCAGCCGTTGAGGCCATGCGGCCCTTAGTCAGGTTTAAATTCCAGTCAGTGGGACATTTGCTCCCATTTGTGCAAACAAGGCCATGTGGCTTTGACAAACATGTCAATTAGTGCATGATCTCATTTGCGTAACAGTTCTAGCTTTCTGAATGTTCCCCTGGCACAGATGTGGAAGGGGGCTGTGAGCAGGCTTGGCTGGATCTGCACTGGCTGATCAGGGAATGGACTGACGCTGTTAGCCGATCATTGCTGATTTCAGGGGGGGTGAGGATGATGCAGAAGGAAAATGGGAACTTTTCCAACCAACTCCTGCATTGGTTAGAAGCCGCACATTGCAGCAAAGTGCCGGGGCCCCTGAGTGTGAAATAAAATGGAGCCTGATTGCAAACAGAAGCAAAACTGATCAGTCTGGTTACATCTGCGCTCAGAGAAATGCTAGCGCAGACCCACAGCATAAAGAGTAAAACGTAAGTTGGATTAAAAAAACAAAACAAAGCCCTTTCAGTTTGATTAATCAAATGTGACACGTTTGTTCTTTTCTTTTTTGTCTTACCTCGGCAGCTCTTGACAATGTGTCATTATTTGTACCTGCTTAAAGTGAGCATACAACACGATCACACGGTGTTGGAAGGGTTTCACACCCTGGAAATGACTCTGGAAGGTGCCTACAGAGCACCATAACACTCAGGCTATGTCTACACAAGCAGGTTTTTGCACAAAAAAGAAACAGGTGTGGGAGGGGAACGTGGGGGGTGTCTTTCTCTTTCTTAATCAGGGGCCACGTCACTTCTCACTTGTCTGCGGCCCCTGACTGATTTTTCCGTGTCTGCGGCCCCTGACCCCCCCAAAAATTCCCCACCCCTGGTCTAGATGGTGGTTGCTCCTGCCGTGAGTGCAGGGACTGGATGTGATGACCTCTTGAGGTCCCTCCCAGTTCTGTGAGTCTATAACACACTGGTAGCACAGTGGGTCTGACACAGCCCTGGTCTATTCTAGGAAGTTATTATGAAATAACTCCCCTGATTTCACAATAACAAGCGGAGCGTCCTCACTACCAAGCCCATTATTTCAAAATAAGGGGCTGGTTATTTCGAAATAATCACTCCTGCTTTCCATGAGAAATAACGCTTAGTTCAAAAAGTCACCTTGAAATAGCAGTCGTGTGGACGCTCCACTGTTGCTATTTCAAAATAACTGCTCCCCAGAGTCATTCAGAGTAATTACTCCCCTGTGCTTCCTGGAGCTCTAAGTCGAGGTAGCACATCCACATTAACAGAGCCTGTCTCGGACTAATTTCGGGGCTTCCCCATAGTGTGGACATGCTATTTAAAAATTATTATTTCAGGCATTATTATTTATTTCAAAATAATTTCCTAGTGTAGATATGCCCATACAGATAATCCAAGTTCAATTGCAGGCATACATTTTCTAGTAATCATTCACATTTAGTCTGAAATGCACCATTAAAGAAAAGAATAGAGGAACGCAACATAGTACCTGCAACTGGAACATCCCATGGAGGTGCATGGAAATAAAAACCAAGAAAAGGTTATAATTAGCCACTGCCTATGGAGAATGGAAGCAAAATCACTGAGCATGCTCTAGATAAAAGAGGGTGGAGCTAGGGCCGCTGCCAATAAGCAACTCCACTGCTGACCAACTGGAGACAGTAGGATGTGCCTCTTGAGAGGGCTTATAGTGGTGCTGTTCATCTAGCAACATAATGACTTTGGAACAGGAAGTCAGTGACCTGTGTCAGGGATGACATAGTGGAAAAGAGATTTGCACCTACAGGCCACAGGCTCTGATCTGACCCATGTCTATGATGACTAAACGTTGCTGCCATGTGCCGATGACAGGCAGTGAGCTTCAGTGGCTAGTGCCCTGGGTTAGTACTCAGGAAAGCTGAATTCTGTTCCTGCCTGAACCCCGCATGCTATGTGGCCTGGCACAAGTACCCTCTGCTCTCTTTTCCTCTCCATCTGTCTTGTCCATTTAGATGGAAAGCTATTTGGGGCAGGGACTGGCTCTGATTCTGTACACTGGCACAAGGGGTCTCCATTCCCGCTTGCAGCCTCTGCACACTACTATAATACACATACTAACAAGAAAGATATGTACTACCTGACACCGTCAGTTCAGTGCCTAAACTGTGGGGGGTCCTTAACTGGTCCTGTGCTTGGCAGCTGAGACACTGAGATGCTTGGGACACTCATTCTGTTTTGATTTGGTTCACCGTAAAGTTATACTGGAGCAGGGTCCATTTAGGTCAGTGTCCTGCTGCTCAGAGGGGCCAGTGCCAGCTGCCTCAAAAGAAGATGCAAGAAACCCTGCAGATGGTCAGGGGATGAGCTGCCCACATGGGAAGTTTCAGACAATGGAGAGCTCGTCCAAGGAAAGTGGCAGTTGCCCCATTGCTGGAACACTTGAAAGTGGACTGGACAAGTCACTAGGGAACATAACTCAGGGAATGATCCTACATGAGCCAGTGAGAAGAATGCATTAAATGGCCAGTTAGGTTTTTCTAAGCACTGATTTCTAGGCATCTATGCACATGAGTGTGGATTCTGATCCCTTTGAAGCCAATGACAAAACTTCCATTGACTCCAGGGACCATCCTTTGGGGATTTGCTTGCTATTGGGGACTGGCCATGTGAGCACAGGCACTCACCTTCCAGATGCTGGCTTCCTTTCCGTACACCACTGCCATATTGCTTGCTTTGTTGGACTTAATGAATTGCCGTTCGGTTTCGTTGAGCTCCTCGGACACAAAGCCCATGAAGGAGTTGTCAGGAGTGTGAGCTACAGAGACCAAGGGGAAAAGAAACACATGTTTGGCTTTTCCCAGTGCACTGAAGGGGTCTTCTAGGCTATGTCTACACTGCAGCGCTATTCCTGGATACCAGAGGCATCCGAAATAGCTATTCTGCATCTTTTGAGCATGCCCGTTATTTAGAAATGTAACGGGCTTGCTATTCTGATGTCCCGGTAAACTATCCACAAGGGGTAAGGGATGTTTCAGAATAGTGATTTATTTTTAAATAAATGCTGTACAGGCAACACCAAATTTTGAAATAACATCCAAATAAGATATGCAATTTGCATAGCTCAAATTGTGTATCTTATTTTGATCTATGGTGCAGTGTAGATGCATCCCTATAGGCCATTTTCTGACCTCCCCAAGCCTCAGGAACATGCAGTATTTCCATGTTGGGGTCATTCAGATAGAACAATGGGATGGTTACCAGAGCCCTCAAATGAGGTGAAAACATTTCCAGGGCCTATCCCATGTAGCTGGGAGTTTAACTGTCGAGTTGGGCCCTGATCTCACAGAGGCATTGGGGATCACTGGGCTGAAATTCATACTGGTTCTCTGTGACTGTCACAAGTAAATCCTGGGCTGGATCCAGGATTTCTCTTTTCCTCTGCCACTTTCTTGTCTGGTAACAGTCCAGCTGTGCCTGTGTCCCCCGTCCCCAGCTCCTAGGTGAGCACCTGAACCATCAAAGCGTCACTATGTGCTCTACCCCCTCCCTCTGTGCAGACAGCGGGGAGTGGAAAAGCTGCCTTCACACATGCTCAGCCAGGGAATGTGGGTCAGACCTGATTAGAACAAGTATTTGGAGGTGTTTGGAACCAGTCCAAGGTGCTGGCCATGAGGTTTGGATTATTCCATGGCACTGAAGCATTTTGAGTCAAGGAAATAAACTCTGAAAGGTTCCTTGCATTTAATAATAATAAAAAAACCAGGAGCTATTAAAATATACGAGCTGTGAACTGCCTGCAGGTCTCTCTAAAATATAAAGCACTTTTAGGCTGCCAAATAGATTATACCCAGACAGAGGAAAAAATATTTGAGCCACAAAGCATGTGATTGGTCACTAGGCTTAGTGCTGACAAGCAAGGCTCCTTTCCACTTGGCAGATTGCTGGATAAATCTGAAGCACCAGCCTCAGCCTCTGCTCTAAAATCCAGATAGGTGACTCTCCCTCTGCAAATCAGTTCTGTGTTTGAAAAAAATCCCCCTTCCATTTCACTTCCCCACCCCACTTTCTCTTTGCTCCTCGTCTCCACAGGCTTTCTCCCCACTATCGTCACCTACTGGATCAAGGCTGCTCTCTTCTGCACACAAATGGGCAGTTTATTTCAATCTTCCATTTCCCCTGGCATAACTCTTGGGAGAAGGGAGGGGACAGAGTGAGGAGAGGAAAGGGAGAGGAAAGGGAAGAAGCAATGGGGGCAAGAGGGAGGAAGAGGGGAGGAATGGGTGCCGGCAGAAGAGGGATTTAAAGGAGGGGTGGGCATGAGGAAGGCAGGGAATGGAGCAAGTCATGTGTGACGATGCAGAGAGGTGTGAGGAAAACTGGGGCAGAAGGTGAGGGAGTGGGCACCAGGGATAAAGCAGGCAAGGAGGGCAGGGGTGGTGAGGAAATGGGGAGGTACCAGGAAGTGCAGAGGTAAGGGAAGGTGCAGGTGCCATGGGATTGGGGAGGAGGGTGAAGCAGAAGGAAAGACACATGAAGGAGAGGGATAGGGACCAGAGGAGAGAGGCAGGGCAAGTGGGTAGAGGGAGATATTAAGAAAGGGGATGGGGAGGGATAGCTACAGATGATCAGAGTGGGGCTAGAGGAGGAGTGGGCACATGGGGGGAGAGAACGGCTGGTGCAGGGTGGCAGGTCCCAGGATGGCTGAGGTGAGTGAGAAGGGCAGGAGCCAGCCAGGACAGCAGAGGAGGGTGAGGGGTGGGGAGCAGCAGGCACCAGGGGAGCAGATGGGGTGAGGGGATGGTGGAAGACATGGCAGCAGAGGGAAAAGGGAGAGGTTTATAAGATGTTTATTAATAACTTGGGTGCCACAGTGGCACATCTGAATAAGCCACATGAACTCAGTACTGGAGCACAAGACAAAATTCACTCTGGGTATGTCTACACTACAAAGTTAGTTTGAACTAACTTTCATAGGTGCTACACTAGCGCTCCATTAGTTCGAACTTAATTCGAACTAGCGGAGCGCTTAGTTCGAACTAGGTAAACCTCATTCCACGAGAATTAAGCCTAGTTCGAACTAGCTAGTTCGAATTAAGGGGTGTTTAGCCCCTTAATTCGAACTAGAGGGAGGCTAGCCCTCCCCAGGTTTCCCTGGTGGCCACTCTGGCCAACACCAGGGAA